CTATATATATATATATATATATATATATATATATATATATATATAGATATAGAAATAGATATACTGTATATATTTTGTATATAATGTCCCTCTGTGTACTAACATTTAGAAGATTAACACAGATATAATATAAAGTGTGTTGCTCAGTGTGTTTGCACTGTAAAAACAATTAAAACAATTCCTACCTGGAAGCCACACTTTAAGCACACCAGGATGTCGTGGGATGCTGCGGGCTCTCCATCGATCATGGTCCTCTCCTTTAAGCACTCGGAGCACACCAACCACATGCTGGAGACCACCGATTTCTTCACCGAGCTCAGGTCCACCGCTTTACTCACATGCTGGCAAGTCAACCCTGATTAAAAACAAAAGATGCTTTCTATGACCAATCTACCTTCCAATCACTTCTAGGGACCAATTCACGCTTCTGAGTCATTATGTTTTGAAAGGGAGACGTGCTCAGCACCTGATGTTAATTACACGTGGTGGGACATCCCCACTAAATAGAAGCATATATATATATATATATATATATATATATATATATATATATATATATATATATATATATATGCTATCCATTGTAAGATAAATTCCCCTTTTATGGATATTTCACTAGTAACAAAATAGACAAAAATTACAAAATGATCACTGTTTAGTTAAAACCAATGCAGTTATTTCAATACTGTAAACAGTCAAGGGCAGTGGATGCATGTCAATTGTAAGTTATTGAATGAACTTTTTTACAAAAAGTACTATGATGTGTCATAGATAAGTAGCCTGCTTTGGTAGTATAACTAAAGAGGTAATCCCACTCACTACCCACTGTGCTAGCATTCAAATCAAAACTCACAGCCCCAAGTTTAACAGTCTGGTGTTGCTTCGGCGACTCACCGCTGACTTCGTCTGAGGAGTCCTCATCTCGAGGTTTTCTCGGTTTATTAGTCCGCTTAGTCATATCGGCGGCTTTCAAAGAGAAGGGGTCCTTTAGCCGCATCTGGAGCTCTTGAATAGGAAGATGAGGAGACAAACATAGGACTTACTCTACAAAGTCAAACTACTTTAACAGAACTGTGTGGTAACAGATACATGAATGTTGCAAACGCCTGCACTCGTCTGTAACTGCCCTGATCATTTTAACGAATGACTGGCTTAGGTGTACATCCTAAAGACATTAGCCCATACTTGATATCTTCACTGGGACATCAGGCCTGTGCTGCTGCCACGTTCATTTCTTGCTCATTTTGGGGGGGATTTACACCTTCAGTCTTTAGCAGGTGAAACACTGCTCAGGTGGACTAAGATCAGGGGAATGACTTAACTTAGCCTGTCGAGAATATTCCACTGTTTGGATCTTATAATTCATAGTGGCTCATAGTTTGAAGATGATTATCCTACTGCATGTTGTTGTGTTTCAAACATTTGAACACCCTCAAGCACCTTTACAACTGAAAGTCACTTATCCCCAGTCACACTGACGTTTCCATGTTAAATCATTGCACAGGAGCACTGAGCCAAAACAACAGATGATGTGTGACTGTCCATATACTTACGGACTGCATAGTATGTCAACGAGAATAAATATAGCCAGCCAAAAAGGTGGTACTATGTGAAAGATAACTATTCAGTATTGTGCAATAACACGGTTAGGAAGCCTCAACCTGCCCCGACAATGCAATTTAGGAACGCATAAGAGGCATATATGTCGTATATCAAATATATTTTACCATCGAATAACAGCTTTTACCCAGTTCGAATGGGCGAAAAGGCAGTATGAACTCACCTCTTTATTTTAGCTCCTGTGTTGACTGTGTTAGCTAACCTGAAGCCAACAGTGAGATGTCAACTCTTCCTGGCTAGCAAACAGGCTAGCTACATTAGCTTGTCAGGATAAATAAAACATTAACGTGTGTGTTTTATCCAACAATCCACGAATATATTAAGGCATTTCAAAGCAAAGTACAGTGTGCCGACAATAACAGCACAATTATCTTAGTAATTGCTCGTTTTTGCCTTTGATTTTCAATTATTTTGTCGAGCTTTCGGTAGCATCAACTAGCAAACTAGTCAACATGTGACGCAATACGGTGGCTCAGTTTGGCCTAATGCTGCATTCACGTACAATGGGAAATCTCCCTACAAAGGCAAAGCGTCACAGGTTCTGTGAAAGAGCTTTTCTACGTTTTATAACACACATAGAACTACATAAAACGATTTGTTCTGTTTTATTTATAGAGACCAAAATCTGGAACAGTAGTGGAAATATTACGGTGCCCTACTGTGTCATACTATGAATGCATGTAACTGTATGTAATGTGGCCTCAAGTCTTTCTTTTTATGTGATGTGGAATTAGTGGTATCATCAACACGCATCATTTTCAAATTCAATAATTTATGGTCAGCATTAATTTAGATGGTGTATATTTAGTTTTGGCAACAAACATATATAACTGAGTCGGGATGATAACAGGGGATGCTATCAATACATTTTGGTGTGATTTGTTTATTCAGCGTGCAGGATAGCTGTAGTAGCCCGAGGCGCAGCATACTACTACTATTACTGTCTATTTACTGATAAATCACTGGTCAGATGTGGACAAACGTGTCATTGTCGCTGTTCCGTCTTTCCCCTGAGCATGAATGCATCATAAATTATGTCTTTGATCATTTTAGTTCAGTAATTAAAGCTACTTCCAACACATGGCACTTATTTGTATTGATAATGGGTTAACCTTTGAAATATTAAGTTAATGACTTGCGTTTGCACTTGCTAAGTAAGAACTGAAAGGAAGGAGTAGTTTGTCCTTCTGGGGAGCCATACTTCTGCGCATGCGCGGGTCAATGTCGGCAGGCTGACTGTGAGCAGTGGATATTTGTTCTAGTAACGTTAGTTGTCGCACGTAGTATTATTGCGTACTTACGGGTTTATGTTGACGGAGTGTTAATATAGAGCGTAACACAGGGTGTAATTATCCCATGGCTCTCAGAAGGTGTTGCGGGTTAGCGGGGGTCGCTCCGAGGTTGTTATGGAACGTCCTGCCTGGAGCTTACGTCCCTGGACGAACCTCTGCGTCCAGCCTTGTCAACACTCACCACGGTTGCAAAAGTGAGCTTTACATATAACGTTAGCGTTGTCTTAACTTGCAGCGCTGCTCCCCATGTGTGGGCAATGTCAGTGTGAATGAAAGACGGGTGGCTCGTTTTTGAAATTGTTCACATGTAGCCTTTGACATGTCTGTTTTCGCCTTCAGCTACAACGTTGCAGCTCCGCAGGTTCAGTTCTGCGCCACCGAGCACGGATGTGAGTTATGAGCAGATGAAGCAGCTCCTGGCGGGCCGGAAAGCTGTAGTTATAGATGTCAGGGAGCCCTGGGAGCTCAGGGAGTACGGCTTCATCCCCGGAGCAATCAACGTTCCGCGTGAGTGTTGTTTTCCCGAAGATACATATGGACCTAGTTTTAGCTTGGCAGGGATGTAACGTCATGCCCAGTTGTTAGACCAATATACAAATGTAGTACCCAAATAGTTTATCATGTGCGGGACATGAACAAATTTGGAAAACATGCTTCAATGCCACATTCCCAGTCAAATAAAATATATTTGAACATGACACCTGCAGACAAGCTGCACAACTCTCTTCATGGTTAACATTCCTTAGATAATCATAATAAGTGTATCGAGGTACGATGCTTTGATACTGCTTACAGCGGCTCCCAGATCACACCAGACACATTCATGTCTTGTTTTCCCAAACAGCACAGATTTCAAGTCCTACTGGCCGCAACTGAGCTGTCTGTGCTTCTTTGACTTTGCAGTGGGACAGGTGAACACTGCCCTCCAGCTGGGTCCGGACGAGTTCAATGAAAAGTATGGCGGTGAAATGCCCCAGCAGACAGATAACGTTGTGTTCACCTGTCTGGCAGGGGTCAGGAGCAAGACAGCGCTCAACACAGCCGCCTCGTTGGGATACAAAGAGTGAGACATGTCTCCTTGGCGCATATCTGTCAAAATCATTGCTTCTCACCTCATCGTCAAGTCATGTATAGGAAGTGTTGAATAAGATTTCTTGTTATTGTGAGTTGTTAAAAGTGTTTATTTCCCAGTCCGAGCCAAGGCTAGAGTACCACTACCCGTTTGTGGCTGAAGGTTATATCTGTTATATTTCATCATGAGACAGAATCAAGTTTCACCAGCTTGAGATTATTGCAACTGTTGCTGCGCAATGTCAACCCATCATGCAGTGCTCTTTTGAGAGCTGCCACATACCACATGCAGAGAGTTACTTAATAACAGTACATTCAAACACAAATGCAGTTTCATTTTTGACTCGCCTCTGTTTATGCAACATTTTCATCGACTTTCTTTCTTCTTCCCTCTGTTGCAGTGTTCAGCATTACCTGGGCGGATGGCAAGACTGGGTGAAAAATGAACAGCAGAACTGATCCAGGGATGTCGAAACAAGAAAACAAATACTAATTTAAAGCTTTTCACTGAGATCAGACTGGCGAGCGAGAGCGCATAACAAGGAGTCTTGTAAAGGGTTTTTAAAATGTTCATTGACTCTTCTGTTGTGTTCCTCATCTGTGAATCCCAAAGACTGAAACCAGAGGGCTCAGCACACATCAACAAGTCCCATGCCTGCTGCTAACAAAAAAATACATTTAAAACTATACTGCAATGTTACTTGAAGTTCCTTGTAATTTAATTTCATCACAGAACTATTTATAAACCCTTTACAACTTCAAAAGAGACAGATATTTATAACCTGTGATTACTCTAAACCAAAATACAAATATCAATAGACAATAAGGAGTGTTAATTTCTACATTATCTATGCAAATGACTACTTTTCTGTATATGATTGTGAATGTAAATGAAGTGGTCCTTTGGCAACGCATCAACTTGATGCTCATAGATGCATCTGCAGTTGTTGCCAACATTATTCAATAAATAAAATTATAGTTTTGATTAACAGTGATGTCTTGTGTTTTGTAATTATTCTTTTTTTTCAGGTCTTTTAAAAATGCCATTTATTTGAATAACTTGTGATATTGTTGCTGGCTGAGGTGACAGCTGCTGGCACTAAGATGATCTACGGCGTTGAAGGGCTGTGTCTAATAACCGCTGCATCTCAGTATGAATTTGCCACCCACCCTACAGGGAACATTAACAGCTTCCTCCGTCATCCACGATAATGAATGTGTTTGTTTTCAACGGAGAAGAATATCTCAACTACAGTATGTCGGCCGCTGCCGTGGACCTTGTTCCCTATGAACTTACCCTTTTACAGCTTGAGCCGAAAGTCAACACCGGACACACACACATGACATTCTCGTGATTAGTTTAATCAGGATTTCGAAGTGACTTACCAGATGCATGAGTAAATGATCTGGCTCAGAGGTGTTAATGCCATTTGTGTTCATATTATAAACAGTGTTCTCCCTGCAAGCAAGGGAACCCCCTAAATGATTGGACATATTTATATTTAACTGTTGCAGCAGGTCTGTGATTCTAAATCGTATAACTACCTATCATGTGGCCTGTTCAAATAGGAAAACACAAAAAGCAATAAATGACTCTGGAAAGAAGCATGTCCATACCTTCTCAATCTTGTGTTCCCCTTAGCAATTCTTAGCTGAATACAACATTAGACGTGGAAGGTGGGGTTGACTCAGCATTTGAAGTGAGGGTTCATGAATAGGCCTGCTGTAATAGCAAATACCACAACGATGACTGATGCTATTTGTTTGCCACATGAAAAGAGCTGGTCCGCTGGAGATGGATTGTTCACGTGACTGATTCCACATCTCCCCAAAAAGTCCCACGCTGCTGCAAGATCTGAGCTCAATGGAAAGCAATGGATGCCAGTTTAATCCATCAGGACAGGTTGTCACAGGAACACTAGATTAAAAAACATTTTATAAATGTGCTGAAAAAACTACATCTGGCTTTTGGACAGGTTATAATGTGTGTGTGTGTGTGTGTGTGTGTGTGTGTGTGTGTGTGTGTGTGTGTGTAACCTGCGTGTTGGGTTTTCTATGAGGGTTAATGTTGCTGGTATTTAATGTTTACAGTAAATATGAAGGACAGTGCAGCGTTTAATGACCCCTGACCACGTGACCCTGAAGGTGTCAATAAAGAAACGCCCCTGAACAGACGTGAGCACTGTTTTCTCCCCTCATATCACTGTGCCATGTCAACCATAAACTCCAGACTACCCCCCCCCCCCTCCCCTCTCCTTTACTTCTGCATCCTTATTTCCCCTCAGCAGCAGTTAATTTCATTTTCTCTTTTTTTCCTGATTACTATGGTTTTAATATGTTGAAAACACATCAGACAAATAAGTGTTCATTTATGTCAAATCATGCTGGGGCTCTTTGTTCCTCTGCGGCCGCAGCCTCATCAGGTCACCCTCCAGCTTCGGCTCAGCATTCAATTAAAGTCCCTCGTCCCATCAGAGCAGATCACGTCAGTGCTGCACCTACTTGCTGCTGCCGGACCCTGCCTGCTTGCCTGTCTGTCTGCTGCCCAGTGCTGCAGCAGACAATGAGGTGGTGGATGTACAATAATCTCAGCAAAACCCAGAGTGGTTCTGATAAAAAGGAGACTGATACATGATCGCATTCTGTGTTTTCCAGAAAGACTAATGGGTGATGCTGTCAGCCACTATAACAGTCAAGCTCTGCTCCTCACAAGCTGCTGGCAGATATCTGGTGGTCAGAGGTCAAGCCTGATTTGGAGCAGAGGTTCGACATTCCCCAGGTGTGGGCTCATGATCCGGGCTGTCTTTGACAGAGCTGGGGGTATGGCTGGCAAGGGCAGTATAAAACCTGAGGCTGGGTTGACAATCGGGGAGTGCCAACTAGGTGGAACAGTGAATTGAAGTGCAGCCTACCACAGACAGGCCCTGCTTGAGTATTTCCTTCATCTCCCATCAGAGAACCAGAGGAAACACGAGCGCTAACGCCGCCATGAGCCGCAGCCCGGAGAGGATCTCGTCCTACCGCCGTCACTTTGAGGACAGCAGCACCTCGTCCTACCAGGTCAGGGTGTCCAGCCCATCCCCCACCAGGAGAGACGCCCGTCATGCCTCCGCCGGTTACTGCTGCAGAGCCGGGGCCGGCGGCATGCGTGTGGAGTCAGCAGGACGGAGGACCGCCTCGGTTGCACGCAGGACTCGCACGGCAGGAGCAGGGTAAGCCACAGTGCCGACAGATGGACAGATGTAGGGTTTATGAGTAAGAGGGCTGTACAGTTAGATTATTTGACATTGTAAAAAAAAAAAAACAACCTTATGTAAAAGTAAGTTCCTCTTTCTCAAGCTCTCTTTCAAGCCATTTTGGAAATGCCATCTACCCCTTCAAAATCCAAATGTCTGTTTGGCCCACGGGTAACCTTTCAGGGTGAGTGCAGGAGCCATGGTCTGTGTTGGGCCAAGTGGAGAACTTCCGATGGATCTGGATGTGGCTGCTGCCGAAAACCAAGAATTCCTCAACACCCGCACAACTGAAAGACAGGAGATGGTCGTCCTCAATGACAGACTGGCTGTATACATTGACAAGGTAAAACAGCCTTCAAACTAACCCCATTTGAATTATATTTGTCAGGCCTGGCTAAAAATGGCTTTCGTTGAAAAATGGGAGCATATTACTCTCACCTCTTTGAGCACATGGACAGGGAACATATTGTGGTGTCTGGATCAGACACACTTGAAATCACAGAGGAGTTGTTTTTTTTGTGCTCACAGGTTCGCTCACTCGAGCAACAGAACAAGCTTCTGGAAGCGGAGATCGAGGCCTACCAGAACCGCTTTGAGAGTCCATCAGGTCTGCGCCTCCTATATGAGGAGCAGCTGAGGGAGCTGAAAAAGATCGCCGACCAGATGAGAGTTCAGCGGGTGAGAAAGAATTCTCCGAGCCGCACATCGCCTCCGTTTCTCCTTTTACATTTCAGACGCTCAACAGAGCGTGAGGACTGAATTCTTTGTTTCCGGCGAGGTTTACACCTCACTGAGCTGTAGCTGGATCCATCCAAGCAACGATACAAGACGTCAACTTGGTGTTTTCAAGGTTCCTTACCTGGTAACAGGCTTATTTCTGGCAGGCAAATGGAGAGGTGCCTCAGCGTGTTAAGGTGTCATGGAGTACAGCTGTCTTCAGCTATGTGTTATGCACAGATGAGATGGCTTGATTCTACATCTGAAGACACACACACACACACACACACACACACACACACACACACACACACACACACAGGAATGAAGTTAGGATATAAAATGCAAAATGCAGAAGTGGCTGATCTACATTTTGCACACCCCCATGCACACACCTTCAAATCGAATAGGCCACCATATTAATTCTGGCTTCTTGGTTTTCAGGACATTTCCTTGGCGGCTAAGGAATCCAAAGCTGCTCAACTGGAGGCAATCAAAATCAGATATGAGGAGGCAGTGGGGCTGAGGAGGAAAGCTGAGTTAGACATTGAAACCTTCCGTCCTGTAGGTTACATTAATTAGCCGATATCTCCTTCATCATTGAATTAATTTACAGTACCAAACCCACATGTTAACCATGGTGCGTGTTCTTCAGGATGTTGACAAAGCCACCTCCTCACGCATTGCCTTGGAGAAGAAGCTGGAGCAGATGGAAGTTGAAATTGAATTCCTAAAACGGGTCCATCAACAGGTGGATACTATCTTCATGTAAGAAGCACGTATCTAGTTTGCCTTCCATTTTTGTATGATGACTAACGATTTTTTTTATTCCCAGGAAATTGAGGAGCTCATGAAACAGATCTACTCAGCTCACGCATCAGCTCAGAGTGCATTCACCCTGCCTGACCTGGCAGCTGCTTTGAAACAAATCCAGACACAGTACGACGACATTGCCGCCAAAAATCTCCAGGTAAAATAATTGCACATCAGCAAGATCCGAAATCAAGTTCTCTGTGTTGTAGAAATAAATTCATGTCAATTTTTCCTTCCTTATTTTTAGGAGATGGATTCATGGTATAAAAACAAGTTTGAAGATCTCACCAGTAAGACCTCAAGGCATGTGGATAAGGTTCGAAGCGTTAGAGATGTAATAGCAGGTGCCAAAAAGGATGTGAGTATCCAAAGGGAAAATGAATGAATGAGGCTTGATTGACAATCGATATTAAATTACTATAATCATAAAAATATCTCCAGATCCAAAGCAAAGATCGTGACTTGGATGCCCTGAGGAGCAGGAATGAAGCTCTTGAGGCCAAGATCCGAGAGGCACAAGAAAAGTACAAGAAGGAACTGGAAGACCTGCAGGTAAAGATTGACTCATATAGTCCCAGGGTGCAAACTGGGTCACACCAGAGTCAATTGTGAACACATACACTTACTTTCATGCATGCAGACACAAAGCCAACACAATAATTAATTTGTAAAAGTAATATTATGGCTCTGTTAATCTAATAGGCTCGGATTGAGGCCCTGCATCTTGAGCTGAAATCCACAAAGGAGAAAATTGCACTGCACCTGCGCGAATACCAGGAGCTTCTGAATATCAAGATGTCTCTGGAGATTGAGATTACAACATACAGGTGAAGGAAAAATTACTTATTATTGATGTAGTGCCTTGAAATATTTTAAATAAATGTAAATAAAAGTTTTGTCCTTTTCAAATATTTTATTTTTGTTACAGAAAACTTATTGAAGGAGAGGATCTGCGGCTCTCTGACATGATGCAAACACTGTCCCTTACCAGCTGTAGCATGGGCACCATTGGTGGTGGGATGAGCTTCAGTGGAGGAGGAGGAGGCATGGGTGGTGTTGGTGGAATTGGTGGCGGGATGATGGGAGGTAGTGGTGGAGGTGTTGGAGGCATGGGGAGTGGAGTAGGAATGGGTGGGGGCATAGGTGCAGGAAGCATGGGCACAGCTCAAGGCAGTGGGGCTGGAGGAGTGGGTGGAAGAATGGGTGCTGGTGGTCCGGATGACAAGAAGGGTCCTGTTGATAGGGCAGGAGGGGCAGACACAGGTGGCGTTCATGGATTTGGAGCTGGGGGTGGAGTTGTAGGAGCTGGTGCTAGGGGTGTGGGTACTGGTGGAGGCAGGGGAGGAGTGGGTGCTGGAGGAATGACTGGTGATGGCGCTGCTGGTATTGGGGGGTTGGGCACTGGTGCTGGAGGTGCAGGCAGTGGTGCTGGAGGTGTAGGCACTGGTGCTGGAGGTGTGGGTACTAGGGCCGGAGGTTTGGGCACTGGTGCTGGAGGTGTGGGTGTTGATGGAAATGGGGGATTCGGCACCGGAGGCAAACGTGAGGATGGTGTTGTAATGGGTGCAGGTGGTGGCACTGCGGGTTCAGGTGGCATGAGCGGCACTGGAATGGGGTTTAGTGTAGGAAATGGCAGTGTTGGTGGAGGGACGGGTGATGGGATTGGTGGAGGCATAGATAGAGATGGAAGTAAAGATCATGGAATGGGTTCTGCTGGGATGGGTGGCGGAATCGGAGGCAATAGAGGAACTGGGGATGTGGGGGGAGGTGTTGCACTGTCAGGCATTGGTGGAATGGGGAAGATTGGTGGAGGAATGGGTGACACTGGTGGGACCGGGGTGGGATATGGATCCGATGGATATGACGGCATCAATGAGCCCTACGCAGAGCAGGCTGTGGAGCTGACGGAGAGGAGGACGGTACTCATTAGGTAAAGGTACCATCAGGTATTTTTTCTATTTCTTTTGCACATACATTCTTTGTATCGCAGCAGTAAAACTCAAAACAATCTGACATGCCCATCGCTTGGGAAATAATTACTTAAAGTGTTTTAAATCTGCTTTTACAGCTACTTTAAGGTCCAACCAGCTTCTTTTTTATAATTGAGCCCTCTGCATTTTCTGTCCTCCCCTACAGAACTGTTAAAAATGATGATCAGGTGCTGTCGATGGACCACCAGGAACAGACCTACATCATCACTGGTGCAGCCGATGACTCCGATGACGAATGAGCAGCATGAATCCCTAATTGACCTCCCCTCGCCCTTAAACCTCCACGCCCCTCTGAGCTTTGCACTGACCAAAGCCCATGTCTGGGCACAGACCTTTGCCCTTTGCCCTGGACAAGAAGACCATGAATGACCCTTTGCCACAGAGTGAAACCTTCACCTCATAGGGTTTAAATATGCTTCACTAACACTAAACATGGTCTCTAAACTTTTGTGTGCCTTACACTCCCCCCTCTTTTCTACTTGTTGCAAATAAAGCTATCAGCATTCAATTACCTTGTATTTTGTAGTGTTTGTGCTTGAGGTGCCCTACAGGACACAGGATGTTATCAATACTATATTCTGAAATGCTGGTAAAAGCATATTTTTTGCTCAACTGCGAGAGATGTTGCTTGTTTTGATAGTTTTGGCTGGGAAGCATAAAAAAGTGGAAAAGGGAAAGGAAGTATAGCGAGGGAACAGCAAAACCGAGAGAAAGACAGAATCACCTGAGGGTCAAGGTTGTCGCCTTGACACTTTCTGGAGGGCTAAGGAATCCGTCAGTCAAATTCTGTCCTGCAGTGGAGTGACGGCTCACAGCCGTTTCCTGTCCTCATTCCATCCACATCCACACCTTTTCCTCCTGCTGCTGATTGGGAGCGATTGGATCTGGCCAGCAGATGCCAAACACAGTCAGTGTCCTGCTCAGGGGCATAGAGCAGAGACATGCAACACACCAATCCTCTGAGAGAAACTGCAACAAAAGATAGGAACAGGACCAGTGTTATTATGGAAACAAAAACATTGCTGTGCCATCATTATATGACTTAAATCAAGTGAAGATCAAAAACCTTATATTATAGCACAGTGGAATGCTTCTACATAGTGGAAACATACAATAAAAGATGGGAATGATCAGTAATAAATCAAATGCACATATTTATTGGTTATCTGACTAATGCTTCAAATGTGATAAGAATACATTTTGGAAAGGATATGCTGGATAAACACTCTAATTCCTGAGAATTTGGAATACAATAAATTTAACAAAACAATAATATTTCCAACTCAAGAAAAATGCTAAAAATCTAAAAAAAAACAAAAAACGGACATATTTGTATTTGAAAGACTATTAGCGAAAATGAATTTTTTTACACAATCCAACTTATGATTCAGATGATAATATAATGAAAAACAAGCAAGATGAAACCAAATTACCTTAATAAGTATTTGGAGCCAAAGCGCCTCTCTTAGATCTGCATCACTGTATTATATCATTGCTTAATACATCATTTTTGCAATGATTATGCACAGACTTCATGTTGAAGCAATCAATATTTCTCTCACACATCGTTTCCACAAGCTCATCCCACCCGAAAACGAGGGAGACAATTAGTTTGAGCCTAGAACTGTCAATCGGAGATATAATGAGCAGCCGCGAGACGGTCATATCATTAGATTACATTTTGTTACCGCGAATTAATAATGTGCAGCCAACCCGAACGATCAGCGGCCTTTACATTTAGGCTCAAATTCAGGGAAATAAATGGACTTCTCATCAATATGATAAGATGGAATTTATTAACAATTATCAACAGATAAGCGGGAGTGTTAATCATTGGAGCTGCGCATGTGTATGTGTGTGTGTGTGTATGCGGAGCTCTCCATGGTGCTTCGTCTTCCCAGAGGAAAAACGGACGCATTGGAAGAGACGAGTGTATCATTCAAATTAATAAATAAAATATACACAAACCTGCCTTCGCAGACGCAAATAGTTTGTCAAAAAGCATTCCCTACAAATTCTCAAATCACAAATGTGAGGCACTTTTTTATTTTTTTTTATATTTGGCAAATTTAGACACAAACTATTATTATTATCATCATCATCATGATGATCATAATTATTGTTGTATTGAAATCATCATTATTATAATAATAACAATTATTATTATTATTTTTGGGATTATCATTAATATTTTTGTATGACTGATTACTGCAAAATATCCACTAAAAAACAGAAAAATTCAACTGTCATAAAAACACCACAAGGGAAAAAGGCAATACAATTATTCAGATATTTGTTCAGATAATAACCATGACTTCGGCCAAAACATCTGGCCTCGTTCAAACATACAGGCCAGCCAAGGTTACATGTCTTTAAACATGCTCTTTGCCATCATAGATGTTTTGCTCAGACTTTTAGTTTGCAGAAACACACCGCACAGCCAGTTGGGTCACTAACCTCCGTCCATATAAGAAAACGTTTTAGTCGGAGCCGAGGGAGAGAGCTCCTTGCATTCACCAAGAAGGGCAAAAGTTGTGACTTTCTTTGAAATCTGCGATTTTCTGTCACTTTGTGCGTATGCTTTGGGTGGCTAAATCCCAATTAGGGTCGGCTGACACGCTGCTCTATTCATGCAGAGCCGCGCCTGCATACATTTGCCTAGGAATGAACTTCTCAAATAGATCTCCTGCTAAATGCGTCGGACAGCAGAGAGAATTGGCCTGAGTGACACTTTCTTTCCGAGGCGCTCGAGTGAGAAAAGGTATGAATTTATAAGGTACACCGAAACATATCAATTCACGCAAACTTCACACGCTTTTATCCGCGTCTCCTCATGCGAGACAAAGTGAGTTTAAGTCAGGGAAATGTGGCCTGAAGAAGCCCGGCGCAAAAAAAAAAAACTTTGTAGAGACGTTGAATACCGAAACGGTGCAGCCCACTTCGGTGGGAAGAAAAAAAAGAGGAGAGAAAGCATTTTGAATGAAATCACGCATGAGCAGCGTTGAATCAGGTGCCGTTTATTCGGCTCCTCTCTAATGCGATTTTGAATATTAGTCTGGTTTAAAATCCCAATCATGTCATCTGGTGGGAGTCCCATACAAGCATAATTACTATTCAAACGCGTCGCCAATGTCCCACCCGCATCAAGGCAGCTGGTCTGCTTCTGGTGCAGCTTGCATCTTTCCCCGGGTTTCTCAGAGAGAAGAAAACACCTATGGTGGGTGTCAAGAAAGAAAATAAAAAGAGCCGAGGAAAAAGATAAACAGGCCCGTCCAAAACCTTTTTCCTCTTTGTTTGAGATCTGAAAGGAATAATAATACGTTCTGATTCCTTTGCTGGAGAGAGTTCAACCTGTCCCCGAAAACCAAAAGCACTAGGATTTAAGATTTCTTTTTTGTAATTAGGCTATAAGAAGTGTGACCAAATAGATGTGAGAGGTGCCGAAGGTGTGGGCTTACATGCGGAGAAATAAATGGATTTAGACAAACACGGAGTCATTTCCAAGACGTGGGAATCTGTGAGAAATAGGCCACGCTGCTAAGTGGGACAATGATTGGGCTCCTCTGAATGGACCCCCAAACAAAGTTTATGGGTCGACATAAAAAATGTGTTTTCTCCCGAGCTCGGAGGGGTCTTAAATAGTAGGCCATTGAAACCAGTCCAGGAGAGGTGGTGGTGAACCCTTGGCACCCCTGAAGTATAGTCTTGGAGCATGAATGCAGATCCCTGGTGGGGCATTGCTCTCTGTATTTACCGCGTTGCTTTGCACACAGGTTGTTCCTCTATATTCATGGCTCATTAATGGCCAACCAGTTAAATCAGAGCCCCACCGTTTAGACAGTTAAATCGCCCACCAAAAGAGGCTGGCAAGAGTCAGGCAGAGCCGCCCATAAAAACGTCTTGAGACTGCGATTCTTCTCCAGTCGTTATTTACGTTTATTAAAGAGACGCGGGGTTTGATTTAAGGGATGCGCACTGGCGGAATGCTGTTGATTGACTCCACGATATTGTTCCAGAATAAAGATCAGACCGTGTAATTAATGTGTCTTTTCCTTTTTGTTTTTTTAAGAAGCATGAGGAACAATACCGCTGGTCAAGCCATGTAATTTCATTTAATTTTCCATCCCATTTGCCTCCAACACTCTGACACCGAGCCTTTTGACTGCTCTTCGGGGCTTCAGAGCGCACAGTGGAGCGGGGAGATTCACCCCCAGCGACTTCTCCGCAAACAGAAAGGAAACGTCTTCGCCTTTTTCTCTCCCCTCCTCCTCCTCTTCCTCGGGGAATAATTCATTTCACTCTGGAGAAGTGCGGGGCTTTAAAAGAAACCAGCGCAAGGGTGGATGGGAACCAGCCGCAAATGGCGAGGCGTTAATAAATAACCCCCTCCGCACAGCCAGGCGCAAACATTGCGCCCATTGATGAGATTGTTCGCGTGTCGTTCAGGCTCTTTGACTGACTGTGGAGGAGCGCGGGGAGGAGAGCGAGAGAGAGAGGAGAGACGAGGGATGCCTGCGGAGAGAGAGAGAGAGAGGGAGATTAATGTCTATTAGTTTATTTACAGCATTTGTTAACTGAACACACTGAATTCAAACTGAAATTATTTAATGCAGTGATTTAATCCGAGCTGTGGATCGTGTATCATTGTTGTATCGTGTAGGTTTATTTATATTGTATTTGATTCATTCGCAAGTACTGCATGGAGGTATAACTCTAATTGCTTTTGGACATTTTATAATTTTATTTTATTTCTTCTAAACAGTCATATCCTGGGGATTTTTTTTGCCAGCACAAGAATAGGCTACTTGTCCACAGTGGACAGGTCAGAGGTCAAAGTGTTAATGGTCTGAACTGATCGCCCACAGGTTCCTCTGTTCTTCCTCTCTGCTCAGACTCATCATCAGCATCAAAAGGCTCCAATAACTTGAGACAACCTGCTGCACAGAGCCACGTGTTCTCCCTTTCTCTCCGACGTCTCCCATCATAATACATCCATTAATAGGCGACCTGCACCAACCAACCAGAGAGTCAATAATTTCAGGCCTTTAAAATCCGTTTAGTCATGTGATCTGAAATAGTGTAGGCCTACACTATGTGAATATGTTCCATGATAATCTGAATGTGGTTACAGTTGAGCTGATGGTCGTCTGATTCAAATTTTGCATTGGACTGTCTTGATGGTGCACAGTGAGCCATGTGTCTATTTAGATTTGTTTCATCAATTAATTGATCCTTCTGACAAAATCCACCTTTAAATCACACCAACCATTAAAAAACAACAAATGGACTATCTGAAAAAAGGCTCTGACTCAAAAGCAGGGCTGCTTATCTTAGGTCAATGCAACCTTTTGGAGATAAATCGTATTTCGTAAAATAAATAAATAAGACAATCAAGACCCTCAAATCAATTAGTCAAACACTTTAAATCAATTACTCATTAACAGTATTTTAATCTGACAGTGACTAGGGGACGGCTTTGACAATGGATTTAGAATGAAAATATTAAAGTAAATATTGAAACATTTTATTCACCAAATATCAGATTTTCTTCTAATGCCTTCACAATCGATTTACATAATATTCTTGGGAAGATTTGTGCTGATATTTTGAATTCTGAGCAATTTATAATTAATTACTTCTAATTAGTAATTATACATTAATATTTCGTCAGTAGAATGCCTGAATTGAGCTACCATTCAAAGATAAAATAATGTCGTTATTACCCCCAAAGAAGATTTGTGGAACAGTATTTATTTTTCTGGCCCTTGCACACTGATACAGCAGAATATACGTGTTGAATGAGGAAGACAAGACAAGAAAACCACAAGTGTGTGCGTTGGGAAGATGGTGATGGTTGTTCTTTAGTAGTTTTTTCCCCTTCTCTCTCTATCTCTGTCTCTCTCTCTCTCTTCCTGCTGCTGGTTCCTTTTCAGTACCTGCCTGATCTCCACCCGGCACACGCCGAGAGTCAATAGAAGTTAACAAGTCCTCTAAACTTTCCTGCTCTTTTGTTAAACTGCGGGAACAAAGGAGGAGGGAGAATAAAGCGCTTTGAAGTGGATAAAACCTCAAAGAATGCCAGCCAAGTAGATTTAAAGTAGCCGCTGATTTCCAAAACCTAGCCTGAAAGGGGAGAATGGAAAAGGGTGAGGATTTATGGATAAATTATACAGTGGATTTGTCAGTTAAAATATCGGAACTGTCCGGAGGACAAAGCCACATGCTGAGGATTAATGGTCGCTCCGGACCTTTGATTCTGCTCCCTCTTTTCTCTACTCTTGACAAATTGGATTTTGGGGATGGGAAGGTCGCCTGGCCCTTTGTGTCTCTTGACCGTTTTAGAGCAATTCATTATGCGGCGGGGTGAGGGAAAGTCTCCATGTGACCAGGCCGGCCCGTTTTTCCCCTCTCCTCACAGCTGCTGGGAGAGCCCAACTCTCTCACACTCACGCACTCACTCACACACGCACACACACACATGCGCGCGCTCAGACTCGCTGCTTCAAACTCAAGACCGCTCCCCCCTTGCCCCCCCCCTTTAAACTACCTTATAGCACAGCATCACCTCGGGAGGGGTGGAGGGCGCGGAGGGTTGTTGAGAGAGGGGGGGGGGGGCCTACCTTGCCTGCACCATCACTAGATAAGCCAGAGAGCATAACGCCAACACATCACTTTGAGGGCGGATATCGGCCGGTCCTCATCCTCTCTTCCTCCTCCTCTTCTTCTTCTTCCTCCTCCTTCCTTGCACTCTCCTACTCGGTCTCCATCAGTCTTCATGGTTCTGATCTCACACCACGCCATGCAAGCCACCCGGGCGTCCACCACCGTCAGTGTGTTTGCGGACTGCAGCGTACCGGCCGGGCTCCGGATAGGACCGGTACCGGGCGTCTTCAAAATCGGAAAGTACGTGTCGGACCGCAGGGAAGTCGGACCCAAGAAGAAGGTGAGTTAAAAAAAACTAAAATACACTGAAAATATCTCATGAAAATGTGTTTCTTTCTGTGCAACGCCATAAATGCGTTTTATTGTGAAATGTGCCGAGGTGGTGCGGGTTAATTAGGTGCATTCGATAGCTTTGAATGAAGGTTGCATTGCTATATTTTAAATAAACTTTTATGTACCACTTGTATTACCAATTTTGCTATTCAAAAATTGAATGAAAAACTTTTCTTTTCCAAAAGTTTTAGTGAACAAAATTGACAATAAATAACCCTCTTTAATATATAAACACACTATATTGTTCTCGCTTTAAATTTCAGCGTGCGCGATATTAAAAACGAACGGACTGACTTGGATTTTAAAGCTGCACTGTCAAACTCCATCGGGCCTTCGCTTATTAATTGATTTGGCCTGTCAAGTTGGAAATAATTGAGCTCCATTAGTGGCCGACTTGTCAGTCTGTGCTTCTACTTAACCGGCCTAATGGGCGACCCGGGTCTGCTGTGTGGGATTGCATGCCCTCAGCCGCCTCACATTTCACTGCCTGGCGGGCCTTTTATCCCGATGAGCCGTTTAATTTTAATGCAATCCGGCCACGGAAAGATGGCAATGAGGCAGCGGCCGCAGCCTGGAGCTATACGAAAATTGTTGATAATAATAAAACTTATAAAAGATAGAAATAAACAAACCGCATTCGTGTTTTTTGGACTGGGATTATTCTGAGCATGCGTGGAGGTAACCCTAAATCCCGAGGAGCAGATAATTAGAAAAATAAATGTCTCTAGACATTGAAATAAAAAATACGAGCATTCAAACACACTTATTTTCTTCACACGCACAGGAGTAAACAATTTAGGCTCTGTGTGCATCTATAACCGCACCCTGTTATTGTTGGGAGCTGTCAGCGGCTGTGATTGATGCGTCTAAATGCGTGGCCCGGGGCTGCCGGCGATCATCAGGTGCAATCTCCGTGTCAAATGTCACGCTTCGATCTTTAATGTCCTTGAACAGTTTAGAAACGCTCTGACACTCCTCAAATTCGTTTCCCATATCAACTCAATTAGGCCCGAGTGTCATTCTCTTTAGTAAATTATCAGCAGAGCGGATAAAGACGCATTAAGCGCGCTTTGGTCATGCGTGGCCGAAGCACCTCCAGGTAACACAGCAGACAGACACTGACATTAATGGCGAGAGAATTCGTAAAATAAAATACTAATTAAAAAATTTAAAAATAACTAAATAAAAATAGCAAATAGGGTGATTAACAAATACAGTGTACAAAGAAAAACTGCAGAAAAAAAGAGGCCAAATGTGTTTTTAAACAGCTGTAGCCTAAATATTTATTTAGTTATTCGTTCGTGAAAGGGGGACATGTTAAATAGCCTCGGTGTTCACATTTTTCATCATTCCTACTGTTTATAGTCAAAATGCCTCGTGCTCATTCTGAACTGTTTGTCTGCATGGCTTATAGATCCGCTTAGTGCGGGGGGAATTCGTGGATGAGTCAGGCTGTCCCGTGCCAGACTGGATCGGACTGATCCGCGCCGCCAGGAACAGCCAAGAGCAAAACCTGGAGGCCGTGTCGGACTTACCTGGCGGACAGGTGAGTGTTCCTCACATCACACTTTGAGGCCAATGTCAGATGTACATACACACACATTTGGACACTTCATTTAACTTCAGCTCCTCTTCCCCTTTGTCTGTTTTAAGATTTTCTACCGCGTGCTGAGAGAAATCCCGGCAGGAGAGGAGCTCAGTGTTTGGTACTCCAACGCTCTGGCCCAGTGGTACGACATCCCCACCACGGCCACTCCCACGCACGACGAGAAAGGTAAATCAGACTGCTAATAATGACCCATAGTTCAGCCAAACGGCCTATATTATCTGGAAATGAAGTGATGGGAATTACAGGGAAACTATGACCACGCGAGCTCTGAATTATAAGGATCTGTATATCTGGCTGTGAACAGACGTGGAGCCCTGGGGATTGAAGATACTAATGATAATAATTCGAAAAACCATATCAATTTTAAATTAAACGTTTTTTAATGCGTAAAGATGTTTATTATTAATTCTGAGTGGGCTCCTGTGTCTACAGAGAGGGCTGACATTGACACAACATCGACATGTTGAGGGGTCCATCACTGTACAGTTAAATGACAATACCCGTGATGTCTCTCCATTATCGCTCAGTGATGGAAATCAATTGGATGTTGTTTTTACCTCAGGCAGCCTGTTTTTTTATCTGTTAATTTATTCATCGTAGAATCCCAAACTTTACCACATTTGTTTTTTCATCCAACGAAAATAAAATACATTTAAGAATTACTGTCTTTTAGAACAACCACATCGTTTAATTCGTTTAAATAAAGGGATGATAACATTACTTCAGGCCTATGGCAGCAATGATTGGGTCGCTATTTAGCCAGATGAAGGTGAAGCCTTTAATCATTTGGAGTTGGCTATTAATAATTCAATATTGACGAGCAAAACTAACTCCGATTGCAGGAATGTTAGACAACGCAGGTTATAAAATAAACAGCGCAACTAATGGGGCACTACAGTCCAATTTCAGCGTGTATCACCACAGACATTATTTCCTTTCAGAATATCTGAAGAGTTCTTGTTTGAGTTTTGTCATCAGCCATGTGTCGCGACTTTTAATCAGTTTGTTTGGGCTAGTAATGATAATTTGGCAGTTGCGCTTGGGGATTAGTCCCTAATCTTGGCAAAATACCAGCTCGGAAGGAACTAATCCGTTTAAAAAAAAGGAAAAGATTATTATCAACAGTTTGCAGGGAATTTCATCAATTTACGATGATTTGGGATTACATGTTTTATTTGGACTGGGAAGGGCCTGTTAAATAATTGAATAAATATAAAAAGCAAAACGGTGAAGCTTCAAATGATATCAAACTTGCGCCGGGAAAAGATAATAATAGTTGCAATAAAGTAATTACGGTACTTGAAGCACCATTAAAAAAAAGAAAAAAGAAATAAATTAAAAGCAGAAATTGACGCGTCTCGGTGACCATGGAAGAAGAAAGAGGGCTGGTGATTCAGTTGCGAGACGGAGGTTAACAAATGTCATCGCGTCATTAATATTCATGTATTCAAAAGCAAATAAATTCAAAAACAAGTGCTTCACGGCAAATTAGGTGGGTGCGTCAAGGTATTGTGGCCTAATGAATGCTAACTTTTATATGGGGTGTATATTGCCCTGATTCTCCGGCCCAACACCGTGTGCGCTCCTGGACATACGCTCGCTCCCATTATTAGGCGTCAACAGATGGGCCGGCGCCATTGTTTCTGGAGACTTGCGATTTCAAGCAACAGCTGCTGTCACTTCCACGGGAAAGCGCACAGAGAGGGAGAGTGCCGCGTTCAATGCATCGGTTCCTGAGCGCCAGATTGGGCAGGGCGTTTGCTCTTTTGATGGAGATCATAAACAATGGCCCGTATGAGGATTACAAAATCATTACATCTATATTAACCTCTGAGTGCTCGACTGGGGGGCGGGGGTCATTAAAATGGCCTCCTGTGTCTGTTAGCATTTGGCACCAGATCTTAGACACCGGATCACATCTATCCTTATATTTGAATTTATAGGTGATGTGCAGCAGTGCCTGATGGAAATGTTGCTCTGTAAAAGGGACATTTTCAAGGGAACATCGACGTTGCAATGTTTTAATATGACAACCCCTGCATTTTGATGGCAACATACTGCAAAATGTATGTATTTTCGTTTACATCACACCTTCTGTAACCCTGGTGGTAATCGTGGTGGTTTGGGGGAAGAAGGGGGGGGGGGGGGGGGGTTTACTTCTCCGTTAAGGCGCTCACAGGTCTTTTCTCTACAGGTTGCCATGCTGTTATTTTCATTTTACGCACGGACCTGGCATTTTACGCACGGGTATTTATACATGTTCATGTCGTTATCTGGTTTCACGCTGTGTTGAGTGACTTAATGATCCGCATCCATCTGATAATTAATGCCACGTTTGCTGTTGTCGCTACAGGTGAGGAGCGCTACATCTGCTGGTACTGCTGGAGAATATTCAAGTACCCGAACACGCTCAAGGCCCACGTCCACTTCCACTGCGCCCTGAGCAACGGGCGAGGGTTTGTGACCAGCGAGCAGGCCAGAGGGACGGAGACCTTCAGCAGGTCGCCGAAGTCTGGAGACATCCCCAACACTTCGACCTCTCCGAGGAGCGGCCGCAGTAACTCCTCCATCTCAGACTCTGGCAGGCGGGCGGTGTCCTCCTCGCCTTTCCCGCACAAAGCGGGACTGTCAAAGAAAAGCAGCTCAGAGGAGCAAGACAGGGCCCTCGACATGAGCGTTACCTCAGCCAGAAACCAAGGACACATCCTCGGCTTCGGTGCCACATCCTCAGTGCTGAGCAGCATGGGCTTCCACCCGGGTGTGCGCTCGGCCTTCAAACCCACCGGTGTCGCCAAAGTCCCGGGCGCAGACGCCTCCAGAGAGGACACGAACGGGAAGCTGGGCGGCCTGGGATTCAGCAAACTCATCGGGAACATGAAACCGATCCGCAACGTGGGCGAGGCTCTGAACGGAGGAGGGAGCCACCCTCCCAAGTGCACACCTGCAATCATGGACTCCGCATCTCCAATGGTGCCATGCACAAACGCAATCCGAGGATTCCCGTTGCTGCCTCACATGGAGGAGACCTCGGCTTTTAAGCACGTAGATAGTCGGTTGCACTCCGGCCTGTCCCCATCCCGCTACCCCCAGATGCCCCCCGGACTTCACTTTGAGCGGTTCTCCCTCCCTCACTTCGACGGTGTCAAGACGTATGGCGGAGACTGTAACATCCCACTTATGCCCCTCACGGTCTATAACGGGGAGCTTCTGTACAGCTCGCCTTACTACCCGCTGAAATTCCACTTCGGCAACCTCCTCAAGTACCCGGAGTCCATGTCCTACTTTGGCGCGCCCTCGCTCAACCACGACCTGGGCTCAATCACCAACATCGACCGGGAGATCGCCATGCACACGCAGCAGCTGTCCGAGATCTCCGCAGAGAAGAACCGGACGAGGCTGGACACGATGCCCACCGGGAGCGCCAGCAACGCTGGCTCTGGCAAACCGAAAAAGGGACACCTGTGTCTATACTGCGGCAAGCTGTACTCGAGGAAGTACGGGCTGAAAATCCATATGAGGACTCACACGGGTTACAAGCCGCTCAAGTGCAAAGTGTGCTTCCGACCGTTTGGCGACCCCAGCAACCTGAACAAACACATCCGGCTCCACGCGGAGGGGAACACGCCATACAGGTGCGAGTTCTGCGGCAAAGTGCTTGTGCGGAGGCGGGACCTGGAGAGGCACGTCAAGTCCAGGCACCCCGGGCAGACCGTCAAGAAATTGGACGAGAAAGCGGGCGGCCTGTTCGAGGACGCGGAGCAAAAGAGTGACAATGACAGTGACGTGGACGTGTGCTTCACCGACGACCAGAGCGACCAAGAGTCAAGCAAAAATACCGACTGAGATGCGTCGGTGCCCACAGAGACTGCTCATTGACTTTAAATTATGTACACGAGAAAAAAAATGTCATTTAGTTCTGTGTTGAATCTTGATTTTTTTTTTACATTTGAGACACTGACCCATCTGAACTATGGCACCAACTTTTCTAAACTTAATGATAATTCGCAGTTGAATTATTACTTTTTGACTTTGAGGGAGTACTGTTTTTGTTTGGCGGTTTGTTTCGTCAAAAAAAAAAATGTTTTCCATATATTTAATTGTTAGTCGCAGTTAAAATGTTCTTTGTCTCGCTCGTGGATACTGCAACAATGTTCCCCGGCTGTGCCAAATAACCTGTGGCCTTTGGGTTTTGGCACGCTCTCCTAACCATGCTGGTGCGGCAGACAATTGCGCTCGTTTCAAATGCAAAAAAAAAATCTGAATTGGTATCATTTTTTGTTTTTTATGCAAATGGTGAAATCTGTCTTCATCTGCTGCGTCTCAAAATACTGACAATTCTACAAAACCATCAAAACAACTGCACACAAAACGAGAACAATGATCCAACATCACTAAGAGACATTTTCAGAAAAACAAACAGTCAAGGCTGAATATGAGACTTAATTACCTGAGATATATATTTTTAGTAGTGTAAAAAAAAGGTAACGGTTGTTTTTTTAATGTCTCTCCCTGAGGAAGGATCTATGACTGAAGGCCTTATCCAAAAAAAGAGCACTACATTCCATCACACTGGATATGGCATTCTAGTAAATTATGAGCTGCAAAAGAATATGATTCTTTTTTTTTATTATTATTATTATTTTACTTTGCTTTTATTGTGAGAAAAAAATGGCATCATTCCCACATTCCCTTCTAAACTGTCAGTTGCACTTTAAAAACAGCAATGGGCATTTTCATTTCAACAGGACGGATTATTATAAACGAATTTATGTTCAGGACTTCATTAGAGATCTCGGATTCCCTGCGCCTCGCTGAGTAACACACTGTACTTAAATTTGCACTTTCTTGCAGAGGTCACGCTGTTCTTAAAGAAGCAGCCACAGCAGCACCCAGTTTATTTAAGGAGTTATTTCTAGAGAGAGAAAATTGTATTGATTGCAATTATAGCCTGTAAAGAAGTGTAAAGTATGATATTTCACATTTCAGTGGAGAAGTGTTGTATACGTTTGTTTATAAGTGATATTGTCTATGAGCACAATATTTTACTCCCGCCCATTAAGTCGTTGGTTTTTGAATAAATTTAATTTAAAATATCAAAAACAAGTTGTTTGAGGTTTTCCTTTTTTTCCATCCGCGTGAGATTTTCAAAATGAGTAACAACGTAATGCCATGTAAACCCGATTAAACTCTACGATATGATATTCGTTAAGTTTGGTATGTTGTTTTGTGTTGCACAATCAGCCTTGAGAATGCGGTTGAACCGATATGCAGATGGTACATAATATATAATAGAGAACACGTATTAGTCATAACAGTTATGACGCAGTAAAATAATCCGCATTGATGCTCAGTCAGTCGGGCCTGTTGCCATCAATGAAAAGGTCCATGCACAGATGACGAGCCATAGCAAATCTATAGTATAATGGTGTTTTTCTCTTCTTCTCCTTTAATAATAATAATAATAACAAATAATAATAATTAAAAATATCTCCCAGAGGAAGAGGTATTTGGATGCTTAAATAATGGTAGCAATACAGCAATGTAAAAATACTCTGTTACAAGTTCTGCATTAAAATGCTACTTAATTAAAGGGGACAGTTTACCCCAAATAAAAAAACACGTATTTTTCCTCTCACCTGTGTTATTTATCGAGCTAGACTGTTTTGGTGTGAGTTGCAGATTTTTGGAGATATCGACCTTGGAGACTTCTGCCCTTTCTCCAAAATAATGGGACTAGGTGGCACTCAGCGTGTGGTATTCAAAGAGCCAAAATAATAATAATACGTTTTGAAAAATTCACATGCAATAACAGCATCAAATGCTAGAAAAGAGTTCAGAGGTTCTAGATAAACCAGGTCATGATTTCTGGAAAGAGACATTGCTGTTGAGTTTTCAGAAATGTATTTTTTGACATATAGTGCTATTATATTGGAGAGAAGTGCAGACATCTCTACAGACGATATCTCCAACACTTGGCAACACCAAAACAACTACATTGACAAATAGAACTCCAGGTGAGAGGAAAAACAATTAATTTGGGGGTGAACTGTCACCTTATTTAGGCTATAAGTAAATGCACTAAAATCAAATGCATAATACTTTCCCCTGTCAGCGTTACGCTATCCTATTATTACAGCATGTAAGCATGTTTCAGTTCTCAGGTCGAGATAATTTATACCAATGTATATGCTGTTATTTTAATCTCTCACAATGCATCCTATTTATTATATGTTTCTGACTTGTACAGTGAGTATAGCTGTCAAATGAATGTAGTGGAGTAAAAAGTACAGTATTTCTCTGTGAAATGTAGTGAAACAGAAGAATAAAGTGGCATCAGAAGGGAATACTCATAACTCAAATCTTACTTCAGCACTGTCCCATTTCACCATACAATCCCCTAATGTTGAACCTTTCTTATTCATATATATATATATATATATATATATATATATATATATATATATGTATACATAATTTATATAATTATTCAGAGAGAGGTTTTTGTGGTGGTAAAATAAAAGCTGCCGCCTGGACTCCAGCAGGCTCCTCTCCACACACTTCTACTCCTCTGACCAGTCAAACACCTTTTCACTACACACAGCGGGAGAGAAAACAGGTGCAGCCATGTTTCAGATATCAGAGCAGACGTCCCACAATGACAGTCGCCGGCAATTTAGTACTTCTAAACTAGCCGCTGGCGTATGACCGTCTCTTTTCTACAAGATGTAAAGGCAATCAAGATAGGTGTGACCTTGACGCGGCCTTCTGGATCCATTTGTGAAAAGTTGAAAGAATGTGCCTATAGTGTGTCACTATCAATCTCTGCTGTTTGAAACACTTCAACTAAAAAATACATATAGCAGGACACATTTGAACGAACTCTCTACACACACACACAGACACACACACTCTCACACACTCACACACACACACACACACACACACACACACACACACACACCTCAGACTACTGGTGCATCACGGATTGAGGAACAATATATTCCCTTTAAGAAATGTTAAATTGAAAAATGAAGAGACTGGTGAAAATTGCTGTTGGTTTTTTCAACATTAGGCACACATCAATTTTCTAGGACATAAAATTAGTGAAAAATAATGTAATAAGGGAGCGGACAAAGCACCCCTAAAAAAAGTTATTTACTAAGAAATGATGCAACATAATGTGAAGAATAATCACGTTTTAGTCTGTCACACGGGTACAAGTTCTGTCATGTTTAAATGCTGGGAATTCTTTCCACATGTGTCACATCCATTTTAAAAGTGGACTCGCAATAGATGGAAAGGAAATTAACTGCACTATTCTGTTGGAGGGTTTAGGAGTAATCTGCTGGCTGCATTGTGTCAGCGGCCAAAACACTATACGCAAGTCCTCTGTTGCTGTAAATACTTTATTTACATTTTACACACAGACAGAAATACATTCCATCTGTGCTCAGGCAGCTTCTTCAGCATGCACAACTTGCTTTACCTTACCAGCATTGACGTGAAGGTCCGGTTCTTACAGCGAAGTCACGGGGTCAATGTGGGCCATGCTAGCAGATAAATCGGAACAACGTGTAAATATGACAAATTTGGAGGATTTCTGTTCAACTAACTGCATCTTCTAAACATCCTGGTTAAAATCCATCCAACATCCCAGAGTTACTGTGATTATTCAGAAAGTGTAAAGTACTCTAATTACTAAATTTCAAAATGTAATCCTACTTTACTGAGGGTAAGTGATGTGGGAGTTTTTCCTTTTCCAATGCGAGGGTCCAAGGACAGAGGATGTCGTGTGCTGTAAGGATTGTTAAGCACTCTGAGGCAGATTTGTGATATTGGGATATACAAATATAGTTGAATTGAATGTGTCCAAGTTACCAAATTCTTTCACGGTTTTGACCGTTTAGGGGTAAATTCCGGACATTTTTGCTTTCTCACTTGGCTTGTTTGAGCAAGAAATGGGTTTTACTTTGCCTGGACACAGTAACTACACCATGAACACCAACATTCATTAGAAAGTGGCGGTACTGAGCAACAAGTGGTGCTCCATACCTGCGACCACTACCATCAATTCAAGCACTGCCTGTTTGGTGTCAACGGACTCGAGTGGGCGCTTTGACTCCGTCTCTGAAAAAAAAGTGGCCTTTTCCTTCCAGATAACAACTACCCAAAGCCAAGCAGCCCACACATCCCGAGGGTTGTTTTTTTCCATTAGTGAGGGCGAAATGGATGGATGGTGGGGTTGAGTGCGAGTCAGGTGCCTGCGATGGTTAAGATAGACCTGAACAACAAAGCAAAGCGTTTGATTTTTCCGGTTGATCTTTGTTCACCTGTTGGTCACAAGCGCTGCGCGGTGTTTGAAAGAATGAGATTGCAGATACCAGCGATCAAATTAGATTTTCCCACAGGGGGACGGTGACCTCACTCTTCCCATAAGAAGAATTCAGTGATTGTGTTCCCAAGCTAGCTTTGTTGAAAGGAATTATCCAGGGAAAAGAAAAGAGGGTCTTTTGCAGTTGAATGCAACGTGATGCATGTGCTTTCTCGGCAGATTTATTCCCTTGCATATTGTCAGATGAAAAGAAGAAAAAGGCCAGTGTGATGCACATGAAATCTTTCCCCAACATGCATTCTCTTCATGATCGGACACAAATGCGCCCTTACGATTCAACCCACAGGAATGATTGTAATTAACCCGAAAGTGTTTTTACTCTCAGCAGGGTCGGAGCTGTCTGTCCCTTTATGTGGCTGCCCCCCCTGTGTTCACTGTACCCTTTATTATATCCAGTCCTCTACGCACAATACTCAGGGGCTCTCCGCTGTGGGCCCCCACATCAGGCTGGACCGAGTCCAAGCGCTGTTTGTGTTTCCTCTGCGCTCTCACACTATAACACCCTGCTCGCTCATCCCCTCCCACCAGCGTTTTCAATCAATTAGTGCCGTTCATTAGTGGGAACATTGGGGGGAAGAGTTTGTTCGAGAGAGTTTGACTCCCAGCCTAGAATTCGATCCAAAACCAGACTTCACTGGCAGGCCGGCAACCACACCGAGGCCGACTTGTTTTCAGGCTATGGTTCAGTCTCTTCCAAAGGCTTATGCGGGTAACCTTGATCACGGGAATCATTTTCAGTTGCTTAGTCTTAACTGACCAAGCAACGGGTGAGACTCGGCGAAGGTAGCAGATATGTCAGAGACATGTCAGGATTTTAAAAACTATTAAATATGGCATTCTCCGCATTCATTGTAAAGGCTGGAGACTGTGAAGCTGAAAAGGAAGTGTCTCATTAAAGAACTTGTTCAGCTGAAAGTGTTCGGAACAGTCTGAAGAGGAGAGGTTGTGAATAAAATGTTGCATCATTCAGCAAATGGCCTTTTGAAACATGGAAACGATGCCCAGCACACAGCATGGGAGGGCTTCATTTTAAAATCAGTCCGACTGTATATTCTGATTATCGAGATTAACAGATTAATTATTCGTTGCACTGATGGATGGAAAGATGATGGTGTTTATATTTGAAGCATTAAGACCACATTTGGTTGGGTTTTAATGGCTGAATGAGACCAGAGACAAAAGAACAAAAAAAAGATGGATATTTTCATTTGCGCATTCAAATGAGATGCAGAGATCAGCTGAAGTCATGAAGCCTTTCTCTATCTTTTTGCTCTCCCACTGAATGCGCCATGTTAAATGATTTAGCCTCGATTTCAGCAGATTCTGATCTGATAAAGATGAGGTTAATGCCGAAGAACATTCAAAATAAAGTTGGTATGCCAGCTATAAAAATCAGGTCATAAGGTCGTCAGGCATCTTGATGTGCTGTGTGTGAGTTTTGTATACAACATTTCCTCCATTGGAGAATCAGCTGGAAGGTCAGTGTCCGTCACAGTACTACACAGCGATATACACTTTAATTGCCCTTTCCGACGAGAGCCATGGCCAGAGCCAGAGCCGGCTTAAGAATGGCTCATGACACAGAAAACCTTCATACTAAACTTTTGTACCTTCACTGTGACTGTTTTAAACATTAATTTGATTCAAAAACAGCTTTATATTATGCCTCAAAGGATAAGGTTGT